CAAGTACCACCACCACCACCTGCAGATCAGATCGATTGATCGGTCGCTCGTGGCGCGAGAGACTCGAACAGGTCCAACGGCGAGTACACGTCGCTGTTAACGTCCAGGTTAAGAGAAGTAAAAAAAGGTGCAAATAAAACAACAGGGATGTAGTACTACGTACCAATCATAGGACTGTTCGACGGGACAAGAAGACGAACATGGCGCTGTCCATAGCTCCATATGTCCCTCTCAGGCTCTCACGACGACGACAGAACGGATGGTTGGCATGCCAATACCATCATGACAAGGCAGCGCGCGACGCGAGCGAATCCTTGTTCACTCGTCAGCCTCTCTCCGCGTGTAGACTTGAGACCCCGACCGGCGCCCGCCCGAGTTGTCTGAATTCCGATAAGTACAAGGCCGTGTTGCGATCTTTACCACTAATAACAACACAGAGACCAAACCGAGTACTAGATACAAGAGCAAAACAAAACCGAAAGAAGATGGCAAGATGCTACTTTCGTTTGCTACCTCTAGCTTTAACTAGATCTAATAGCTAGCTTTCTAGCTACCAGGATTCAGTTTTGGTGGCCACTTTGTGCCAAAGCTTTGTCTCTTTCTTTCAGTGCAACTTGGAGCCGGACGACGGGCCCAAAAACACAAAGCTTTGGCAGCAAATTCGACCCGCCCGGGCGTCGCCATCGGGTACTAATTCCATCGTCAGACGAGTACTAGACGTCCGTGTCATTACGCGTTCACAAAACCGCGTTGAAATTTGGGGTTTATATACACAGTACCACATTATTATGAAAACAAATTCTCCCACGTAGGAGTAGACATGCATGCATCTCTCTCTTGATTTACCCACTGACACATGCATGCAGATTTGTCAACAACCCTGACTAGCAGTTAGCTAGTTCATCGCGCTATATGGTGGATTTGTATTTAAATTCAAAGCGACAAGTATTACTGGCTGTTATGAGTAGTTTGAAAATAAACAGTCAGAAGCATTCGTATCAGAATATGAAGGCGCTGTCAGGCGTGCGTGCTCCTGCAAGAAACAGTGGCTAACTAGACATTGATTACTACGCGTGTCTGCAGGACCTGATCACCGTATAAACCCGTATTTAACTCTGACTGTGTGGCCGATGCACTCTGTGTATAGTCCTGGTGGCGGGTGCTATTACTAATGTACACGTAACTGGACTGGACCGACCACGCAGCGATTGGGCAAACACGTACGTAATAAAGATTTCGACAGACGACAGCTTTTTCTTTTTTGCAAAGGGATAAAGTGATACTACAATATCTTTGAATTATCTGTTAGTACTAGTACTCCTACCAAGTACTAATTAACACGGCTTACTTGACAAGGACGTGTTGTCCTTGATTGGCAAAGCCACTCGACCATATATGGCGCAATAATTGTTTAGCATTGACCACACAGCATGACATGATGCCAAGCAAAGTGTTGTACTGTACGTCTGTACCTAACCAAACCAAACCCTTAAAACAGGAATCACTTCCACGACAAAAGATATATAAAAAAAAAGCCTTGCAGGAACAGTTCATAGGCTTGTGTGTCGAGAAATTTTTCAGGAATAGTCATTTCTTTAGCTCTATTACAAACATAAGTCATTTACGGCAGCAACACGGTCTACAAACTGACACATTGACTTGCATTTCTTTATAAAAATATACTATTCGAAATAGCGAAAGTTACGTTACAAAAGTATTTTCCATGATAAAATCCATTAACATCAACCATATACTACCACCAATATATGTAATTCATCATGGGTCAAGTAAATTTTGACTAATAATAAGAGTTATATAAAAGCCTATATCTGTTATCAAACAGACAAGTCCTTAATTGATTGTTACTCCCTCCTTTCATGAATAAATCAAATTCAGAATTGTCTTAGAGCAATCTTTTTTACGTTTAACCGAATTTATAAAAAAATAATATAGTTACTATGACATGAAATAAATATATTATAAAAATATATTTCATTGTGTATCTAATGTTACTTATTTGGTGTCATAATTCTTGGCGCTTTTTCCTATAAACTCAATCAAACCTAAAAAAATATCGACTTAAGATAACTCTAGGAATTGCTTTATTCATGGACAATGGGGGTGTATGTTGCTCATCGCATTTCTTTTATTTGGAAACTAAAAGTGACTTTAAAAACAAATACATTCCTTTGGTATTTGCACAAAGGTGGTTATTATTCTTAACAAAGACAACTTGATAAAAGAAGGTGGCCACGAAGGAAGGAATGATGTTGTTGTTTTATTTACTCAGTCCAACATCTTTCCTTTTTATTGTTATTGTACTAAGTTTCTTTGGAGAATCATTTATGTTTGATGTACCCTCTTGACTCTTCTAATAGCATTCAACACATATGTCATTTTTTGGCTATATGGAGTGGACCCAAATAAACAAGTTTCAAAATTTGGTGTGCGTTAGCACTCCATGTTGCTGGTGTGCCTATTGTAATAATGGATGCCAAAAGCATCTTTAAATATAGAGGCTCCGGAAGGTATGTTTTATTTCACCAAAATCATTGTAGAAAGAATTAGAATAGACACGTAGTTATGTTAGTTTCGATCTCCTAGCCAACAATGGGCCCATTATTAGGCCGGCTTTGGCCTGAGTCCAAATTGGATCGAAGTCCACATCAACAAAGACTTATGCCTAAGGACAGCCCAGCCCAACCACCAACAAGCGTGTCACCGACTAGAAGGCCATTGTATTGTACCATGGGCTCGTGAGAAACATAACTGAGTCCTAAATACTGTGTTACCTTCCTCTGCAAAGAATTGTGAGACTACTACATTGCGGTAAAAAAATGTCTCCATCTAATTATGATGTGTAGGAAGCGTGCAATGTGTGTACGCTTGTGTAGTTGTGAGTTTGGCATGTGGTCTATTGAGAATTTGAGATGAGTGTGTGCCCTAAAAAACAAACAAAAAAATCCCAGGTATGTGCAAAAAATTGATAAGCAGAACACTCAAAATTCTCACCAAAATTGAGTAGCTTGGTGGCCTAGATAGTGACACATTAGGTGTGATAACGAAGGGTTCCTAAAAGGTGGACAATGTGTCAAGGTCTCAAGGATGTGGAGCGTGTCTCAAGCTTTGGACAAACGACGAGATAACGTTTTCGAAAACCAAGCTAAGGCAATGCGTGGGTTATAGAGGGCCACGACAGACAGATGGTGCAGCCATGCAGATGTGTGCTCACCTGTCACTGTCGCAGCCAGAGGCACAATGCGATTTTTCAGGCTATATCGCCTCCCACATACAAAGATTAAAAGAGACGGGCAATGTTACTCGTGCTTCTCTTTCAGCCTGTCATGGTCCGAAAACATGGAGTTCCAACCGGGAAAGTGCACTTGTCCGGTTGTCACTCAAAACTCTGGAGAGATTAAATAGATTAGCGCATACGGCCGATTGCATTGCAGTGGAATAATAGATTGCCCAATTTCTTCCTTCCAATTTCCAAAGGAGTTTTCCCCATGTCTCTTTCACGAAAGCACCTACCGGTGTACCTCACATATGACAATTTTTGTCCCTGGTAGCAGTGAATTGTCTGTGCACCTGCTTTAGGAACTTTCTCCATGGGATATCACATTAAAGTTCCCCAGAAAATAAATTAAAAGGGGGGGGTGAAGGCAGGAATACAAACACTGCCTGAGTGCCTAACTGCCTACACAAGCAAACCTGCATCGCTAGCAGCAAGTGTTTACCTTTCAGAATGCTGAAAAAGGAAGCAAGGCGAACTCTGTTTTAAACAAGAGGAAAGTAGTCATCGAATGTATCGTCCCGGTCCCTAAATTCGCAAATTGACCGTTTAGGTCATTAAACTTGTTCATCTACGTCATCTCGGTCTCTAAACTCATAAATCATTAGTTTCGGTCCTCAAAATTATTGAACTGTATCATTTAGGTCCCTAAACATGCAAATTACCTATTTAGGTTCTCGGACTTGTTCAATTATGTCATCCCGATCCCTAAATATTATAAATATTGTAAACTTATAAATTCAATATATATTTATAGAACTGTCCAAAAGTTATAAATCAAATTTTGTCAGACTCTTGATAACTTGTACTTTAAATTAGAACAAAAGAAATCACCATATACTTTTTATTTTTAACTCTGTAATTAAATGACTAAATAGTCACGTATATTTTTATAAATCCTAAAAATCTATATGCATATTTTGTTATTGAACTATAGAGTTAAAAATATAAAATACATGGTGATTTTTTTATTCTAATTTAAATGTTACCAGGAGTCTAACAAAATTAGATTTATAATTTTTGGATAGATCTATAAATATATATTGAATTTGCAAGTTTACAGTATTTAGGGACCAGGATGATATAACTGAATAAGTTTGAGAACTTAAATGGATGATTTACAAGTCTAGGAACCTAGATGGTATAGTCGAACAAGTTTAAGGACCTAAACGAGTGATTTGAGAGTTTAGGAACCGGAATGATACAGATGAAGAGGACTTCAACGGTCAATTTGCGGGTTTAGGGACCGAGATGACACAGCCAAATAAGTTCGAGGACCGCCGGTGCACTTTACTCTTTAAACAATATAGACATGCACCTGGATTTCAAATCTGGCCTTCATTTGGCTAGACCACAAAACATAAGCAACATTCATAGACTGAGCAATGCATGCACAGAAACCACAATGAACTCACCAGGTATAAGGAATCCATTTTATATCCTATATTGACAGCTGAGGTGCAACATTGTACAAGCAGCTGGAGTTCAGAATGTGTCTAGTAGAATTTTATTCCTCCTGAACTCCATTGCATCATGAGACAAACATCGCTAAATTACGGAATAACCACAACACCATGTGAACCTAGCACACTAAGTAACACACCGATGCCTCCTGCAACAGACAGTACTGAACAGGCTCAACGGATTAGAGACACTGAGAAAATCAAGCACTTCCCAGCACCAAAGGAAAACCATAGCTACGAGGAACTCAATCCTTCTTGAGGATATCTTCTGGCTCACGGAGGGTACTAAACATCCAGTCCATCCAGATGGTGTAGTGGCCATAGTTGTGGCGGTAAGTTGTATGGTGAATGGTGTGATATCCAGCGCCCATGACTGGCCATATCTTGCCATGAATGCAGTCGTGGATGTTTGCTGTCCACACAGCCTCTAAGAACAAGAGAGCAATATGTGTCCTGAAGTGCGTTGGAAAGAGGAAGAACGCAAACACATGTGGTATTGCTTGCAGAATACCATCCAGTGGATGAAATGCAAGTCCTGGAAAGCAAGTATGTTTTAAATTAGTCGTGGTCGAATGACTGCTCATAGCAAATGGAGTAATAGACTTCAAAAGCGATACACCAGAACTTAATATCAAGGAAATATGTAATGCACGCAACAACTAGATCATAAATGAAACTTTTGTACCGATGATAAGGGGAGAATGCAAGATAGAAACTCAGAGCTGAATGAGATAGTACAGACTTACCAGCAAATGGAGACAAGGTATTTTCCTTGTTGTAAATATGATGGGTTGCATGCAGATATTTGTATAATGGCTTTATGTCATGCAACTCTCTGTGCATCCAGTAAATTCCAAACTCCACAAAAATGAGATACATAGCCATATAACAGAGGTACATAGAAAAACCAACTTCGCTGATATTAAAGTAACACCGGGTCCATCCGCTCTCAATCATATATTCAGACAAAGTTGGAAGAGCACAGTAAAAAGGCATAGCCTTTGATGCTACAACTATTTGCTTCTTCATAGCTTCATTTGTGGGGATGGCATCTGCATCAAATGCTAATGTCAGACCAAACATTGCGAGACATAAACATGGCCACATAAATTTATGAGAAGTATATGACAAGTAACAATCGATAGAACATTAAGTTGAACCACTGAAATAAAAATTATGCTCAGTACAGATAAGGTATCCCTAGTGATGATTCAACACAAGATCCTCTATACGCTTTTGTAGGAAATTTCGAGGCAAAGGTCGTTCCAGGTCATTCCTAATTTCATAGCAACAATCTGAGACAAGATCTTTAGCATAAACCAAAATCCCTTGCGTACAGTCCAAGCACAGGTACAGCATACTCATTAACAGCTCTAGCTGTTACAGTCTACTTACAAATTCAAAAGAAAAAAAGTTTCTACACAGAATATTTCCATTTTGCAAACAATAACTACAGTATGCAGTCCAAATATTTGCTGCCAACTGCAATTTATTAAGACCAAAACATGAACTAAGCTTGGAGCAACATAAATTCTTTTAGCAAATCGGTCATATCTAGATACAATAAGTTGCTACTGTTTGTTTTTCAGCTCACAAAAAACATGGCACACCTCAGCAACTACCAAGTGAATGCCTGTTAATCGAACAACATGCCTTTAACCAGTCAATGTGCCAACCAGGCAGAAATCCCATTAAAATGATTATAATGATCACACATTAAACAAGAAAAAAATGAAATTCATAATCTTTCACCACCTACGACTACGATCCATATCCCCTAATAGAAGGGGACAATCTAACTTAAAAAGGTTTCCCTGAAATAACCAAAACAATGATGATTTTACTAAACGATTTGCATCTCTTATAATGCCTGCAAAATATCGACAAGCTCCATTTTACACAGTTCTTTGTGCCATGTTCAAGCAAATAATGCCCATATTGCAGGTGGATATTATCGCTTCACACATGTTTATATGCCTCTAAACAAATGAGCCAGAACAGCTAAGATTATAACAGAGGCACTATTCTTTCAAATTCATTATTTCATCTGTAATTCAAAAGGAGCAAAATATTAATTTAACGATTCGGCCATCGACCTTAACTGTTATACAAACATGGAGGGTAGCCACTGGTGCTAAGAATGGTACAAGAGCAAAGTCCAGCTCCAGAATTAAAGTAGTTCTAAAACAAAATGTCTCTTCCATGTGGTCTCCATCACCAAAGAAACAAAAAATGACCTGATCCCACATAGGCATGGTAGTCAAAAGATGCTACCAAGAAGACAAGCTGGAATGCTCCAGTTATCTGAGTTTCATGAATGTCTAATTGAGTGGTCCAGGAAGGACATTTCAATTCATAATATCTGGCATCCAGCATGCACTGCCACATCCCTTTGGATGCACTTCTACCACAAGGTGCTCCAACTATCCCATAATATCTGGCATCCAGCATGCACTGCCACATCCCTTTGGATGCACTTCTACCACAAGGTGCTCCAACTATCCCATAATAAAAAAAAATTATAAGATACCTGTATGGAAAATGGATATGCAGCTTAAAATGCTCAAGACAGAGCGCTTGAGAACCGTACGTGGTTCAAACATTAAAGATGAGCTAATATTAATAATAGCACTTGGCAGAAACTTCCATAGCGCAGCATGTGATTGAGCAGAGAAACCAGCCAAAGCAATCATTTAACTAATGCAGAAACCCTGACAGGAGCATTGGAACAACCGCACACAACTTTGTCTACCGATCCAAATGCAAGAGTCAAGTGCCAGCTCTGTTTATCTGTCAGAGCATCTACGATGATGATCGGTCTTGCCAAGAACAAGAAGAGGTGGTAAAACCAGCAGTGTACTAAAGATCCTTGCTTAGCTGCGGTTAGCCTCAGCCAACCAGTACAAATTCTGCCATAACACTAATAAGCTGCATACAGACGCAAGTCTCCATGGAGCGACACGAGGTTTGTTGTTAACAAGCACAAAACATGAATTTGCAGTAGCTTAGCCAAGAAAGGGTAGGTATCGAACACTTGTCTTCAAGATCCATCCAGATGATTGTTACCACTACCAAATGAAGGGGAGATCCAATCACTGTACCCCCGGGCCCATCGCCATTAACCACAACAAAAAACAAGCAAAAAAAAAAGCGCTAGTCTGTCGCACAGAAAGTGGGGTCATAATTCACCAGCAAATCTTCCACAGTCACTTCTCCACAGCCTCGATTTCTGAGACGAGGGCGAGATCCAGAGAAACAACACGCGGAGGATCATCAAACACACCACAAAAGGCCTCCCATATGACGAGCCAAAAGCTCCCCGACAGAAGCGGGGGCATTCGAGATCGAGAGGCGGGAGCTTTCCCTTTCCGCGCAAACAACAAACCAATCCCTTGCCGGTATTAGCCCCAAAACCTCTCGAATCAAGCCTATATCCCTCTCGCCCACGGCACCCAGACCCTAATAAGGACAAATCGGCAGCTAAGCAGCAGAAGCATCGGGAAGGAAGGATGGGGAGGGAGAGGAGGAGGCGAGACCTTTGGGGATGTAGGCGTGGCGCTTCCAGTAGTAGATGACGAAGCACCAGAGGAAACCGGAGATGAAGTAGAGGAGGTAGCCGCCGACGCAGTTGCGCATCCACGACTGCACCAGGTGCGGCAGGCCGCGCCACCAGTCGCCTGGCGCCACGGCGCTGAGGACGACCTCGTTGTACCACTCCGTCTCCGCGACGAACCGCTGCAGGTAGTCGCCGCCGTGCGCCGCCGCCGCCGCCATTGCCGGCGGCCGCCGCACTGGGGTGCAGCGTGCGGTGGGATCGGTTGAGGTGGGGAGTTGTAAAGCGGCGGAAGCGTGAGACGTCTGGGGTTTTAAATGGATCTGCTTCTGTGGTGGGCAGCCAGGCTGGTACCGCTGTGCTGCGGCCGCAGGTGGAGAGGGAGGCTTTCCGCTTATACTCGGATTCTTTATTTTTTTTTAAAAAAAAACGGAAATTTCACCAAACGGTTTAATGTTTGTGTTTCTTATTATCAATCAATTTAATTAATTTATCATTGCTATAGAATTTTGAACTAGCAAAATTGATAATAAAAAAAACGAGTCGATTATAAGTGAAAACAGATAGGACTAGAGAGTTGTTTTCTAGAGCCTTGAGAATAAACCAAGAAGAAATGAAGACATTGTACAGTAAATTAGAAATGGGTTAATTGGATACTTGCTATTGCAAATATCACGTTTCGAGGATATACCACTGCTATTCACAATATTAGAAATGTGTCATTATAATTTGACATCTTCGAAATATACCACTACTTATCCTTTTGATGTATTTATCACAATTTCTGGACCAATTGCGCTTGAATTCTTTCTCCATGACGCGACTACCACGGGCGGTGACACAAGCTCGGCCACGGCTGCCATAAACGCCGGCGACAGGTAAGGCAACCCCGTCGGGCAAATCCGTGCGCGGCAGCTACCGAGGCCCCTACGCACGCAAGGGGGCAAGCTCGAGCCGCAACCCCGGCCATGCCTGGTAGGGCCTCTAGGGTTTAAAGTATCGGACGATACATTCCAAATTTTCTATCCCGTTTTACCGGCTGGGCCTGAAATTTTTACTCTATCACCCGAAAATTTTAAGATTTGAAAATCTGTCCACCAAAACCCACCTAATACTCTAACCTTAATCCCTGTTTCATTTCCTCTTCTCTTCTCTTCGAGGTTCAAGTTGCCACCGCCGCAATGCACTCGCACACTCTAGTAGGGTCGCTGGCCTCATCATTGAATAGGCAATTGATAATATTGTTCTATTTAGTTTTTAATGTTAAATGGTTTATAGATGATATGTGAGCTTTCTTGAACAATATGAGTTATTTTTGTCTTAATTTTTTCGAAATAAATTTTCTATCACCGATAAATTTCTGATATATTTGATATTCCTGTTTATCACTGGCCACCGAGATTTAGAAAAATATCGGTAGTTTAATTGGATGGATCTAGGATGAAAGATTAGAGGGGACCGAAAGTTACGAACCGACCCCATGTTTGGGGCATGGGCAGCGTACGCCCGAATCAGGGCATGGTCCTCGGCCTCGATCCACATGTCGGTCGTGGATGATCGATCGATCTTACGTGATGACAACCGTCGTCCAAGCAACTGGCCTGCAGTAGATTATGCTGATCCAAATTATTAATGATGTTGCGTGTCGATTACCGTCTAGTGTACACCACCAGGCCGGACTAAGGAAAAGACAACGGTGAAAGATCAGCTAGCCTACGCAAAGACCAATGCAAGGCTCCATGGGATCAGCGGCGGTAGGGAGGCTTGAGCGCCCCCACCACCACCACACCACACACCCCGCTAGATCCGTCCCTGAGTGCCCTGGGGCATCAATCTCCGATTGCGACAACCTACGTAGAGGTCTTGGATGACCGTCGTGAATTGGTGCATATCCATGAGATCCATTGTCTAGATGACGCATCCGCGGCTGCCCCCGCTGTTGACGTTCGCCACTGACGTATGCCCGGCAGGTGCAATTGCCGAGGCACACCTGCCGGCATTGCTCCAGTGTCATGCTAGAGTAGAGTGTGGCGTTCATGGCGTCCGGGAGTTCCATCTGCTTGACGATGAAGAATCCGTCGTCGGTGCTCTCGTTTCGAATAAATCATATCCTAAAGGAAACGTATCCCAAAGTAATAGCATAACTCTAGTCTAGAGATAAGTGGATAGTATCATAAAAGACGACGACCACGGCGCCGTCAAATTTTAGTATGTTTGAAATTCTTGTGTCAATCCAAGGAGATGTGGCCGAAAGAAAGAACTGTTGGAAGAATATAAATAGAAGGAACATGTATAGGGCCTTGTTTAGATACCATCCAAATTCCAAATTTTTTCACTCTCTCTCCATCACATCAATTTTTAGCCACTTACATGGAGTATTAAATGTAGATAAAAAAATAACTAATTACACAGTTTAGTTGGAAAATCACGAGATGAATCTTTTGAGCCTAGTTGGTCCACGATTGAACAATATTTATCAAATAAGACAAAAATAGTACTATTTATCGGGTTCAAAAAATTTGCAAAGTGAACAAGGGCCTAGGTTCCGAGAGTGACGAGTTCTTTTTTAAAGGGAAATGTGCCTTTGAAGAAAAGGAAATATGCCGCCGGTGAGCTGTGAGCTGACTCGTGGTCCGTGGATATGGAATTATGGACGGCACCATGCTGATTGGTGAACATCGCACTCGCAACATCGATTTCTTTGGCCACGAGATATTTCCTACGCGCGCGATGTGCTTGATATTTACGGGTCGGGGACCCGGTGCTGGTGGGTGCCGCTGTGACTTTTTTTTAACTTTAATATTTTTTTAAACTATTTTTAAATCTGACATTATTTAATTTTTTTTTAAAACTAACATTTTTAACCGTGCTTATTTATATGGGTGACAAAATCACTCTGCCACGTCACGTATGACGACACGTCTGGAGTGACCACGTGGTAGTTAGCTGTGGCCAAGGCCGCTGACGTGACACGTCTTCGGCGCCACCCGTTAACCCATCACGGCGCGACGGCAGGCTGCAGCTGCCAATTATTTGCGCTCCTGAATGAGACGTGTCGAGGAGCCGTCCGTCCGGCGTCCGCGTTCCCTCCTAGGAACTTGTCAGTTTATGGAGACGTGAATGGCCATCTGACACCTCGTTCATCGTTTCCCATGACGACGTGGGAGTGCAGGCGGACAGTCTGAGGCAGCAGACGTTGCACCAGATGCGGCGGATCCTGACGACTCGCCAGACGGCTCGGTGCTTCCTCTCAAACAGTTCATCCGTGGGGGAGTTAAAAGGTGTGTTTCTTTAGTCGCACCTAACATTCATATCACATCGAATATTTAGACATTAATAAAGAACATTAAATATAGATTAATTATAAAATCAATTACATAGATGGAGGCTAATTTACGAGATGAATCTTTTAAATCTAATTAGTTCATGATTTGACAACTTAGTACTACAGTAAATATATACTAATCACGGATTAATCCGCTTGGCAGTACTGTACAAGGCAGCTCCAATCCCCATGTGTCGCCACCGTGCAGTCTACAGGCCAGTAGTTGGTCTGGTCCCCACTGCATGCATAGATTAGTGCCAGCAACGCAAACAAAACATTGTGCGCCCGCCGCAGGTATTGTTACGGGGATCGGACCGTAGAATACGTCCGCTGTGGGCTGCACAGCACAAACTATAACATTCCGCTGTGGGCTTGTGGACATGTTGGAGTTGTTTTGTTTATATTTATATTGTATAATGAATATATAGTTTTGCCCCTCTGAGATCTAAGGCCTGTTTGGTTTGTAATTTTTTTGGCGAAATGTTACTGTAGTATTTTCGTTGTTATTTGACAATTAGTGTCCAATCATAGTCTAATTAGACTTAAAAGATTCGTCTCGTGGATTTCGTCTAAACTGTGTAATTAATTTTATTTTTTATTTATATTTAATACTTCATGCATGCGCCCAAAGATTCGATGTGACGGAAAATCTTGGAAATTTTTTCAAAATGAAGTGAACTAAACTAGCCCTAACCCAAACTAGAGCGAGCGAGCAAAGATTTGTTTTCGTATGGTTGTACCGTGGCCGTACCGCAAAATGTTTGTTTACTCGAGGAACTGACAAATGCCTTGTGGCCGCCCCGTGAACGGCCCACAGATTTGCCCTCCAGCGGTGCGCTGCGTCGTCTAGCGTGGTGGTGTGGTCGTGTGGACTGGTGGTTCACTTGACTGGTGTTGTAGTAGGTACACAGACGCGGCCGCAGCCCGTTGGCCCGCGCGCACCAGATCGATCGGCCGGGAGCAGCCCACGCGCACGCCAGCTCGCCGGTCGCCGATAGGTGCATATCCAAGAGCTTTTTTAATCGGTCTCTAAATCGTCATTTAGAAAATTATTTGAATAAAAGTTGTCGTTGTCTACATCTTTTCTCTTCTAACACCTCTCCATCATCCAACACTTTTTCTATATCTTAAACGCACTCAAGCACAATCTAGAGAGCCAATCATGCTCTCCAAATCCGATAATATTTAGATTATTTATTCAGCCTGTTCGCTTGTTGGTTTCAGCCAGCCCAAACCAACCAGCCAACAGTGTTTTTCTCTCACAAAAAACCAGCACCAGCCAGCTCAAACCAGCACCAGCACCAACCAACGAACAGGCCCATTAAGGAGTGGTTGGAGACATTTTTTCACGATAATCTTTATTTCTACTAATAAGAAGGGATATAGCGAATCGCTTGGAGTTACTAAGCATGGCAATAGATGAGGTGTGTTATGAATGGAGCAATGTGAATCACCCAACATCTGGTCCGACCCTAATAATGTCATCTAGTCCCATCCAATCCATTTTTACTACAATCCAAATCATCCACTCAAATCCAATTTCTTATGGCTAAAGAAGTTAGCACTCGCACGCTCGGTGGATCGACTAGGGGCCTATTTGATACATATATGGTGTTAGTAGTTGCGCTAAAAATTAACCTAAAATAGCTAAGGTTAGCTAACAACTAGTTAAATTCTTAACTCCAAAAGTAACCTGTCTATTAGCTCTCTTGTTTAATACAGTAAGACTATTTTAACTAGTTTTTAGCTAGCTAACAATTAGCCTGATACTCAAATAGGCCCTTAGATGTCGGCTATGTACTAAGAGCCACGACAAAGATATGCCACGAGTTCTAGGTGTCAAAGTGCTCTTTGCCTCTTTCTTTCTAGTCCTGCAAAATAAAAGAGAGTCTCAAA